TCCCGGCAGGATGCTGGTCCTGATCCCGCTCTCCTGACCCCGATCCCAGCAGGATGTGGGGCCCAATCCCGCTCTCCTGACCCCGATCCCGGCAGGATGTCGGGCCCTCGTGGCCCCGGCGAGCAGTGGCCGGCTCTGGAGTCGGTGGGGCTGAGCCGCAAGGAGCTGGCGCTGGCCGAGGCGCTGCAGATGGAATACGACGCCTTATCCCGACTGCGCCAGGACAAGGAGGAGAGCAGGGCCAGGAAGGAGCAGCTCCAGGAGCGTCCCCTCATCTCCTGGGATGACCCCGCGGACAGGAATGGCTGTGCCGGCATCAAAGCCACGCGGGCGCTCTCGGGCTCCGACCCCACACTCAGCTACAACGGCCCCGCTGTCCCCGAGGGTCCCCAAGTGCCACCAGGACCCAGCTCGGAGTCACAGCCGTGGCAGAAGGGTCCCCTGAGCGGGGATTACCTGTTCATCCTGGAGGGCTCCCAGCGGGATTTCCTCGGGGAATCCCTCAATGGTTCCCAGCCCCACAACGGCAGCGGATCCCCCAAAAAGCTCTCGCCGCCCCCGCTGCCCCCCCGGCACCCGCTGTGGGGCTGTCCCGAGGGTGGCCAGCGCTCGGGGAAGGCGTCCCCGCTGTCCCCCAAGGGCCAGGGCCAGCCCAGGGACATCAACATGTTCTCGGTGGCTCAGGACAAGCTTTTGGGGCGCCGCATCTCCCAGGAGGATCCCTACGGCGTGGACGCCATCACCTGCCTCAACCTCAAATCCACCTACGAGTCCCAGGTGCTGCTGGAAAATTCCCGGGGCTGGAAGGAAGGCAGGAGCATCCTGGAGAAGGAATCCAGCGGGAAGCCGGTGGCACGGAGCAAAACCATGCCCCCCCAGGTGCCCCCGCGCACCTGCGGAGCCCGAGCGGGCAACAGGAAAAACCTGGCGGGCAACAGGAACCGCAGGATCTCCGTGGAGCCGGTGAGGGGATCCCGCTGCTGGAGCTGGGATTGGGATTGGGACTGGGATTGGGACTGGGAT